AAGTAAATAGTTTTGACTGAAAGTGGCTGGAGAGAAGGAAGAAGTAAATAGTTTTGACTGAAAGTGGCTTGAGAGAAGAAGGAATTAAATATTTGACTAAAAGAGGGTTCCAGAGGCCAAAGGTAGTAACAAAAAGGGAAGTGAAGAGATTGGAAGACTACATACTACATGCATACAAGGATGGCACTTGTCCGCGGCGCTAGTTCATAATATCGAACAATATTACAATTGGATTCATCCTGAAGTCTTCGAAGAGCAGTAGTGCGACTGCTGTGTCATGAACGCAGAGTCACGACTTCTGTTTGAACGGTACATCTGTTCCCAAACTCACGTACCAAGCTTATATTTACGAATATACATGTATGCGCATATGATCACCATATGGCAATGATGTAATATCGCCGTACTATTTATCTACCTACCTATCTATCTATCAATATAAATATACATATATATTTACGTACACACACACACACACACACGTGTGTACACACACACACACACGCATATATATATATATATAGATACACATACACACATACATACACACACACACACACAGACACACACATATATATATATAAGCATACATATATATATATATCCATATTTACATACATATACATACATATACATATACATATATATATATATATATATATTTGCTTATTCATATATACATTGTTTCTCTGACACTTACGGTTGCGACGTCAGCCGGTGTGCTCGCGCCCTGGCTGAGCTACCAGGTCCAGCGAGCGAGTCACTCCTGGGCGATGGCTCTGGTGATGTGCGTGCTATAGGACTGAAACTATTCATCTTCTTTAGATTGTCTGGAGATACACTTCTACTTCGAGAAATATTGGGCAAGCTTGTGCCGTTACTGTGAGCTGGGGAACGCGTATTTGAACGGAAGGTGTCTGTGGATGAACGTCTTTTATCTGTGCTGTTGTTGGTGGCTATGGGCTCGGTTACATCTGTTGCGGACGTTGACGATACTAGAGTGGTGATATTATGCGACATGCTTACATAGGCACCGCAGGGTATATGTGATATAAGCACGATACAATTTATATA